TGCAGCGAGGCTAACTGCCTGCAGCGAGGCTAACTGCCTGCAGCGAGGCTAAGGCTTTATCCTGCCTCCTTGTTCAAACATCAGGATCTGATCCAGCCTGGATAAAGTCAGCTGGACTGATTTAAAGCACTTTGCAGAAAAGGCAAAGAAGAAGGAACAATCTAGAATACACATGGAAAATAATAGAATATAGTGGACTTTTTCTAGAGCTTTGTTCATTTGCATGGTTGCTCTTAAATAAACACATTCTCAGAAAATAGTTTTTATATATAAAGTAATAGTTTCTCGATTATTAAACTGTTTCAATATTTTTTTAGGTTTGTGACCCAATATTGGAGCATGAAAAACACAGATTAACCTTCACAGCCTCAGAAAGAAAAGATTTATGGACAAAAAGTAAACCTGGACATTAAATTCTGTTTTGTTTTTATAAAGTGTTTTTATAATGTTTTTTGATGTTTGCATTCATATAAATATACTGGTGGGATAACTTAGTATACGTCTATTTTGAATTTATAGCTGCCTGTTAACCGAGTCAAACTCTGTGTTTTAGGTGCAGAGCTGAAACTAAGTCTGGGTTTGTTGGAGCAACTAGAATTATTACTATAATTAGCTAAAGGCAGATCATCTGCCTCGCTTGGTTAAATCCTGCTGACATGCTTGGTGCACCGTGTTATTCGCTTCACAACGTTTTCACTTCTGCTAACGATAGCCGGCGCTGCTGAAACCTACATGCTAACTGTGATTCTCTATCAGCTTCAGCTGCAGAAAGAAGAATTAATAAAAGGACAGAGTGAGAAAAAGTTTGGCCACTTTAAACTCAACAGCAAAGCAAACAGAAGAGTCTGAACTGAAAAACTGAATGAGCGTCCCTCAGCAGTCAGCTGATTCCATTTAAAGCTGTGCACTGCCTGTCAGCTGGTTAATAAAACGGCACATTTTCCCTGCTTTCAAAGACATTTTGGACCTTTCCTTTGGTACCGCGCCTCGTTTAGTGGCTGCTAGCTGCAGGCTAGCTAGCTACCCCCCCCGTTAGCCCAACTAACCAGCCTCAGTGTTAGCTCTGTGCATCTAACCTGTGCTAATGAAAACAGGAAAACCAGAAGCTATAAATAAATGTTTGAAGTCAGTTGAAACTCTTTGATAAACTTATTCTGTCTCGTTAAATTCTGCTCCGCTGGAAGAAAACAGAAACAAATAATAAAAATGTTCTGTTTAACTGTTAGAATTAGAGCTAGAGCCGTTTTGCACCAATCAGATGGGGTTATATATAGATTCATATAACAGCAGATGATTATTCAGAGTTTTGATCATGCATATAGAGTTTCAAAGCAAAGATGTTCTTCCTTAAACATCTATTTCGAAAAGCCAAAAAAAGTGTGAAGTTAAACATCCACTTTAGTGCGAATGGGGTCGTGACCTCTGTCCTGCAGACAGTTCTACAGCTGCAGGAGGAAACAGCTTAAAGCCAAATATTTACCACTATTGGGTTTCAAGTGGTGCAAAAAAGCTGCATTTAAAGGGCTACTTCCTCACAGGACTTAGAAATGTCCTCTAAGGTAAAGAATGATACGAAGGACGCTCAGACAAGCCGGCTCTCTGAAAATATGCAGTCCTTCTGGTCCTCCGTCGCCTTAGCTGATAAAGTCATGGAGCTGCCTGAGAATCTGTCAATCATGATGCAATCTAATCTGACCACCCAGAAGAGAGAGAACACCCCCCACGTCCTCACGTGTTTTGGCCATTTAATAATAATTATAATAATAATTGAACTTTATTGATCTCGCAATGGAGAAATCC